ATAGTTTGAGAAATATAGCTCTTAATTCTTCTCTGAATGTTTGGTAAAATTCACCTGTGAAGCAGTCTGGTTCAAGAGTTTTGTTTGTTGGGAAGTTTTTTTTTATTTGTTGGTTTTTTTAAATTGGGGAATTGGGGGAGGGGAACAGCGCTGGGGAATTGGGGAAGGGGAACAGACAAGTTGCTGTCCTTTTGTTTTTCAGTAAAGTTGTGGAGGACATCGCTTCACTAGCCCATGTTTGTATTGTGATCATTATGCTCTTCCCAGCTGAGGCAGATCAGTAGCCGGCCTCTGGACGGTCACTCACGAAGGCTCCTGGCAGCTCACACCAGCTGCTGGCTGCTCACGCTGGCTGCTGGCCACTCACGGTAGCTTATGGCAACCCACTGCAGCAGGGCCTGCAGCCTACACCGTTGCTGGCGACTCACGGCAGCCCAGCTCCAGGTCGAGCTGTTTTTCACCATCTTAGCTGTAGAGGGCAGTGTCACTGGCCCTCATGTGGGATCCGAACCGGGGCCCTGCTGCTCAGAGCTGGCGTCCCAAAGCCAGCTCTTAACCAACGCGCCACTTGGCTGACCCTGTTGGGAAGTTTTTGATTACTGATATGATTTCATTAGTAGTAATCAGTCTGTTCAGATTTTCTGTTTTTTCTTGATTTAGTCTTGGAAGATTGTATGTTTCTAGGAAAATATCCATTTCTTCCAGATTGTCCAATTTGTTGACATATAATTGTTTGTAGTATCCTTTAGTTCTTTATACATGGTCCCCTTTAGCTCTTTGAACATGTTTAAAATAGCTAGTTAAAGTCCTTTTCTAGTAAGTTCAAGTTTGTTTAGGGAGTCAGGTACAGTGTTTATTGATTACTTCTTTCCTATGTATGGCTACTACACCTTTTTATTTCTTTGCATACCTTGTAATTTTTTGTTGAAAACTGAACATTTTAAATAATGTGGCAACTCTGGAAATCAGGTACACCCCACTCTGTTCCCCAGGGTTTGTTTTGTTGCTACTAGTTTTTATTTGTTTGTTTATAATTAGTTCAGAAAAATCATTAAAGTATGTATTCTTTTTATTTGTAGCCACTGAAGTCTCAGTTAGTTTAGTGGTCAGCTAATGATTGGACAGTGATTTTCTTAAATGCCTGAAACCAGTAAAGCTCACAGTGTTTGACGGGGCTCTATGTACATGTTTGGACATGCCTTCAGCACTCAGGCAGGCAATTTACAACTCTGCCTTAGGCTTTACTTCCTGCTTTGCCAAAGCCTTGGTGTCAGCCAGAGGTGAGTTCTAGGGTTTTCTCAATCTTTCCTGACCACGCACATAGACCCTGTGCATGCTTATGGCCTTCTGGATTCTCATGAATATGTGGGAGCTTTTCTAATCCCCAGTGGATACCTCATTCTTCAGCTTTTCCTTTTAAGCTTTTGGGTTAGTCTATTGTTTGCCACTGTTATCCATCACCTTAAGCAGCTGTGACATTAAAGCACTTGCCTTTAAATATTTTTGATAAATGCCCCCTAGAGAGAAGCTTTTTAGCACTAGATTTTGAAAGAAAGCTCCAGCTCCATTCTGTTCCCTAGTTACTGAGAATGTGGGCTGTTATTTTTCAAGGATACTGCTGAGCTGAGGAGACCTGTATTGGTCTAGGGCAAGTTAAAATTCCATAAACCTCACTGCTCTTACTGAGATTTAGCAGTTTTTCTTAAATACATGCTCTCCAGGTTGCTGTAGGTCTTTGGTTAATTTCCAGAGTACTGAAAAAGTTTATTCAGACAATTTTTGCCAGTTTTTTCATTGTTTTAATTCAGGAGTGAGTTTTTGGAGGTCCTTAACTTTGTCATTTATTCTGATGCCACCCATCATGACAAACTAAATAGTTCAGTATGCATCTCTATGAAAATAACATTTTCTTCCATAACCATAGTACCATTTATTATGACACCTAAGTAAAGTAACATTTATTTCCTGTATTATTTAATGTCAAATCCTTATTTAAATTTCCCCAAATTGTACCAAAAATATCTTTTATAATTTGTTCATTCAAACCAGGATATAGTCAAGGATTGTACATTTTATTTGGCTATTATAATCTGTTAGTCTCATTGATTATGTAAAACATTTTATTATTACAATTTTCAAACATACATATATGTAGAAGTATAGTACACAAACACTCAATATTCTCAATACCTAGATCCTGAAGTTGTAATATTTTGCTGTATTTGCTTCATCCATTTATCTATATCTGTCGGTCTATAGTTTTTGCCGAGCCACTTCAGAGTAATGTGCAGCTATCATAACATGATATTTTACCCCTTAATACTTCAGGAAGTCCTAAGAATAAGGACACCTTCTATGTAACCACACTACCTTTGTTATATTTAACAGTTAATAATTCCCTAAGATCTTCTAATACCATGTCCATAATCAAATTTTCTCAACTGTCCCTCCATAATTTATTTTATTTCACCCCCCAAAATCTAGGTCCAATCAAAATGGTTTTTTTTTCTTCAGCTTGAAACATCAACTTTCCCATGTATTGTATAGGTCAGGAATTTGGAAAGGGCACAGTGAGGACAACTTGTCTCTATTCCATGCTGTCTAGGGCTCCAGCTGGGAAATTTTGAAGGCTAGAGGTCACTTGATGGCTGAGTTTGAATCATCTGAACTCTCATTAACTCACATCTCTGGTGCCTGGGCTGGGAGGACTCAGATACTAGAAATGCCAAGCAGAGTGCCAACATGTGTCCTCTCCATGTGACTAGCTTCCTCACTGTTCGGTGGCCTCAAGGCAATCGAGCTTCTTACATGGCTGCTAAGGGCTCTAAGTGTGAGTGTTCCAGTAAACAATGTGGATACTGAAATTGCCTTTTCTGACCTAGCCTCAGAAGTCATGCAGTGTCACTTTTGGCACATTCTATAGGCTACACATGAGCCTGTACAGATTCAACAGGAGGGAACATAGACCCCACCTATCAATAGAATTTGGGCACTTGTTTTTCAACCACCACACTTACAAAACTATAGAGAACAATATAAGATATATTTATAAATCCATAACCGAAAATTGTGCATTAACATTTTTGCTAGATTTGCTTCAGATCATTTTTAAATAAAATACCACCTTTAAAGAAAAGACTTCAACCTCCTGAATTGCCTGTTCTAGAATCTGCACACCTTTATACAGAAAGTCTCCTTTGTAATAATAATAGCTAACCAACCAAGTAATCTTTAAATCTAGTTCAGTACCACCATCACCTTCTTTTTTTCTGTGACATTGATTTTTTAATTAAAAATAGACTAGTACAATGAATTATCATACTCCCATCACTGAGAATCAATAGTTATCAGGATTTTGCCATATTTGATTCATCTGTAGCTTCTTATTTTCAAAATTGTGTATGTTTTAAAGCAAATCCCAGATACTGTGTCATTCCCACCTTCTATGTACTTCAGCATACATCTCTAAAAATTAGGGACATTTTCTCACATTACCACAATCCTGTTATCATACATAACAAAATTAATAATAATTTGATAATTTCTCGATGTTATCTAGTACTAAGCCCATAATCAAATTTCCTCAATTTTCTAGTTAAAAAGTATTTTTTTACAGTGGATTTGTTTAAGCCAGGATCTAAACAATGTCCACATGGCATTTGACTGTCATGCCTTTTAAGTCTCTCTTAATCTAGAGCAGCCCTCAACCTCCATTTTGTTTTATGTTGTGAAAAAAAACCACAAAAGAAAATGGGTATAATTGTCCTGTAGCACATCACAACTTTTAGATTTGTTTGTTTCCTTGTGAAATTGTCTTTTTAATGAAACCAGGCCAGTTATCTTGTAGAATGTCTGATTGTTTTCTCATGGTGTCATTTAACTTGTTCTTTTATCTCTGTGTTTCTTAAAAACTGGAAGTAATATGAACTGCTTACTTGATTTTAGATCTTTTGCAAAACTGCTTCCCAGATCATGCTGTGAATTTCCAATTGTATTACATCAGGAGATGCATGAAGTTTTTCTATCTCACTATTAGTGACAATAAAATTAATACTTAGTTAAGGGAGTGATTTCTTGATCTCACCCTTGTCAAGTTGGTTTTTTCTTCTTCAGACTTACAAGTAATCTATGAGGTAATACTTTGGTACTGTGTGACTATCCAATGCCCTAGAACCAGTTGTTCCATTAGGGCTTGCAAACCTGTGATTTTCTAATTCTGTCATTGCTTCTACATTTATTAGCTGTCACTCTTCTGTAAAGAAGAGCTTTCCCTCATCATCTGGGGACATTTGTTTATACCGAAATATACTTCCTATGTAAAATGTGGAAAGAGTAACTATTTTTTGATTCAAGATCGTTAAGGCATTATAAAAGGATTATACAAGATGGTCTTCAGGAGCTCATAGCAAGGCTGGTAGACAAAATAACACACATAAACATTTGGGAATGAGACAAGATGGTATGTGCTATGTATTAAGTGACTTCTACATATTATAAGTTCAGGGGAGGGAGAAATCGATGTGAGCCAGAGAGGTCCTAGAGGTTTGCATAGAAGGTTGATTTCAGCTTACCTTTGAAGGATGGGCAGGTTTCGAAGAGGTGGAAAAAGAGAAGAGAGTGCACCACACAGTGTGGATGGTGAGGATGAAGGCACAGGGAGAGAAGATGAGCTGTACATATTCTGAAGGTATACTAAGGAAGCCATTTTGTCTAGAGAAGCTGAGAATATGGGTGTGGAAATAAGGTTGGTGAGGTAGGTAGGCCAGGAGCAGAATATGGACAACCTTAAATGCCAATTCAGGGAGGTTAACTTTTATCCTTTAATAAGTGTGTGCTTTGTGTACTTTAGTCATTTGTGAACCAGCTTCTTACCTGACAGGAAGCAAAATCTTTGTTGAAACCAGAAGCAGGAAGACTAATTGAGGTCATCTTTGGGGGGCTTAGAGGTAGGGAATATGGTTGCCATTCTGATAAATGTCTTTATCTTGTTTTCTCTGCAGCCCGTGTGACCCCAACTCTGCCAAAGCAGGACCGTCCTGTGCGTGAGGGGACCCGGGTAGCTTCTATTGAGACAGGTTTGGCTGCAGCAGCTGCGAAGTTGGCCCAGCAGGTAGGTGTTGACACCCAGACAATGGCCCTGCTACTGAACCTAGTTTGACTTAGAGCCTAAAAGCTCAGACCTTCAGGTTGATAGGATCCCACTGTTGTTTCATTGGGGGAGTCGGTAACCTTTGATCTTTATACTTGACAGCATCCTAGTCCCTTCTATATCCTTCAGATCCCAACTCAAAGACAAAAGCTACTTCCGCAGGTAACGCAGTTGACATGATTTAGGGTGAAAGAAAATAGAGGGCCAGAGGAAAGCCCTTGCTTTTCTGGATGTGTGATATCCTTTCAGATGGGAAGGACCAGGTCTGTCCTTAGGTAATAGCATTAGCCTTTAGATAAAGCCCCAAGGAGGTGACTCAATTGAGTATACTCAAGTTCTCAGCTACCCACCAGTATCGGAATTTGCTTTTTTGGGGAGAGGATTTTCTTGTCCTCTACACCAAATACTATCGCCTTGTTCTTCACCCCCTGCTTCCCAAGAAAAGTTTACCCACTAGGTTTTGTCCTAAAAGGTCACTTCACTAGAATCAAGTTGACTTTTTAGCATGTTAGAGTTTACAGAGTTCTTTAATATGTATGCTATGTTCAGCAACCCTGGGGGCAGTTGGAGTGGAATCTTCTGATTCTCTCCTTATCAACATCCCCTTAGCTCCTCATGCCGCATCCCATAACTTAGAGCATTTATTGAGTGTCTGTTTTATGTTAGGTGCTTCCATGTACAATGTCTCATATAATCTGTCCAATACCCCTGTTGAATAGGTGATATTTTCATCATTTTACAGGTGAAGAAAATGAGGCTCTCTTTAAGTGACTAGTCCAGGATAATACAGCCAGTAAATGGAGGAGACAAGATTCAACTCATTTCTTCTAATTTTTATGTTACTTGTTATTTAAATAAAATGAATAGTTAACTATTTATATAATTCAGTAATTATATTCTATTTAAAAAATTAATAAAATGGTGTCTTTAATACGGTGTTCTATGGCTCTCTGAAGTTGGGAGCCTGCAGGCCAGGCAGCCCTTCTATTTTTTTTTAAATAATTGTTTTATTTTTCAATTACAGTTGGCATACAATAGTATATTAGTTTCAGGTGTACCACATAGTTATTAGATATTTATGTAACTTGCGAAGCGATCACCCCAATAAATCTACCCTCCTAACACCATGCATACTTATTACAATATTATTGACTATCTTCATTATGCTGTACTTTACATCCCCATAACTATTTTTTAACTATCAATTTGTACTTCTTAATTCCTACCCCTTTTTCACCCAACCTCCATTCCTGCTCCCAGCTAGCAACCATCAAAATGTTCTCTGTATGTATGAGTTTGTTTCTGTTTTGTTTGTTTTGTTCTTTAGATTCCACATATAAGTGAAATCATATGGCATTTGTCTTCCTCTGTCTGACTTTCTCCACTTAGCACAATACCTTCTAGTTCCATCCATGTTGTTGCAGATGGCAAGATTTCATTCGTTTCTATGGCTGGGTAATATTCCATTGTATATATGTACCACATCCTCTTTATCCATTCATTCATTGATGGACACCCAGGTTGCCTCCATACCTTGGCTATTGTAAATAATGCTGCAATGAACATATGGATACAAATTTCTCTTCGAAGTAGTGTTTTGGGTTTCTTTGGATAAATACTCAGAAATGGGATTACTGGGCCCTTCTTTGTCTCTTGTTATAGCCTTTTTTAAAGTCTATTTTGTTGGGTATAAGTATTGCTACTCCAGCTTTTTTGTTTTTGTTTCCATTTTCATGAAATATCTTTTTCCATCCCTTTATGTTCAGTCTATGTGTGTCTTTTAATCTTAACAGAGTCTCTTGTAGGCAGCATATGTAAGGATCTTGTTTTCCTTTCCATCCAGACACCTTAGTTCTTTTGATTGGAGAATTTAATCTATTTATGTTTAAAGTAATTGTTTATAGATGTGTAGTTATGGCCACTTTATTATTCGTATTTTTTATCTTTTTTTTTCTTCTTAAAGAAATCCCTCTAACATTTCTTGTAATACTAGTTTGGTGTTGGGAAGCTTTTATCTGTCCTTCAATTCTAAATGATAACTTTGCTGGGTAGAGTAATCTTGGTTGTAGGTACTTCTTTTTCATCACTTTGAATATTTCCTGCCAATCGCTTCTGCCTATGAAGTTTCTGTTGAGAAATCAGCTGACGATCTTATGGGAGCTGCCTTGTAGGTAATTAACTGCTTTTCTCTTGCTGCTTTTAAGATTCTCTCTTTATCTTTAACCATTGGAATTTTAATTATGATGTGTCTTGGTGTTGGCCTCTTTGGGTTGATCTTGTTTGGGACTCTACACTTCCTAGACTTGTATGTCTACTTCCTTCATCAGGTTAGGGAAGTTTTCTGTCATTATTTCTTCAAAATGATTTTCAATTTCTTGCCCTCTCTCTTCTCCTTTTGGTACCCCTATGATGCGTATGTTCTTATGCTTGATGTTGTCCCAGATGCCCCTTAAACTATCTTCATTTTTTTTGGATTCTTTTTTCTTTTTGCTGTTCTGGTAGGGTGTTTTCTGTTACCTTAACTTCTGAGTCGCTGATTTGATCCTCTGCTTCATCTAATCTACTGTTGATTCCCTCTGATATATTCTTTATTTCAGTTATTGTATTCTTTGTTTCTGACTCGTTCTATTTTATGTTTTTTATCTCCATTTTTTATGTTTTCTATCTCTTTGTTGAAGTTCTCCCTGAGATCATTCAGCATCCTTATAACCAGTGTTTTGAACTCAGCATCTGGTAGATTACTTGTCTTCATTTTGTTTAGTTGTTTTTTTGGAGCTTTGTTCTGCTCTTTCATTTGGGACATGTTTCTTTGTCTCCCCATTTTGGCTGCCTCCCTGTGTTTGTTTCTATGTATTAGGTAAGGCTGCTATGTCTCCTGGTCTTAGTAGAGTGGCTTTATATAGTAGGTGTCCTGTGGAGCCCAGTGGCACAGTCTCCCTTGCCACCTGAGCCAGGCGCTCCAGTTGTGTCCCTTGTGTGTGTTGTGTGTGCCTCCCTGTTGTTTGTGCTTTGGTTTCTGTTTGCACATCAGTAGGAGGGATTGACCCTTGGGCTGGTTAGTTGTGAGGACTGACCTTGATTACAGTCGAGTTTTTTTGCAGGGGCTGACCCTATGGAGTAGGATTCACTTTAGTGGGGCTCTGTTGCATGCCTAGTCTGTTCCTTTGGGTGTGTCACTCAGGGAGGCAGCTGGGTGGTTCTCTGGCTGGGTCCAAAGCCAGCCATTGGTGGTGCCAGCCCTGGGGCCTCCTGGGAGGCACCTTGCTACAGGCCAAGTTAAACCACAGCTTGTGCCCAGTCTGGAGTCAGCTGGTATGAGCCACAAAGCATTCTGCAGATGGCTGCCACCTGTGCTGGGCTTGGAGGTGCTTGGGAAAGGCCAAGCCATGAACTGAGACTAGCTGCCACCAATGCTGGGTTTGGGGCTGCTCAGCAAGAGGTATGGGGTGCACTGAAGCCAGATGCTGCTTGTTTGGGTTTTGTCAGGCAGCCCTTCTTCGATCAGAACTTCTCTCTGTTATGTATATCTTAGTGCCATGTAAAATGTAATTTGGAAGATGACAACAACAACAATGGGGTTCTGCTTTAAATAAAGAAAAATTAATTAAAGGTTTGAAAACTACTCTCAGCCTTCTAAGGAGCTCACTTCTCTTTGAGTTAATCAGGAATGACCTTAATGAAGAGGTTTTGAAATTGGGGAGGGGTTTTGCAGATGATGCTTTTAGCTTTTATAAGGGACAGGGAAGCATTTCAGGATAAGAGAACTCCTTTATACAGCACAGAGTCCTTCTTGATTTGGTCTCTGGCCACCACTCCTCCCGGACCTCCTGCCAGCCCCTCATGCACACCCTTTATACCAGCTGTACCTGCCAGCCCCTCATGCACACCCTTTATACCAGCTGTACTATTGCACTGTGGTACTCATAATTCACTCAGTGTATCAGATTGTCTCACATCCCTGTGCCTTTGCACAGGCTGTTTCCTCTGCCCATTGAGAATCATGTCCCACTCTCAGATGCCTTACCTAACTCCCCTTCACACCACCTACCACCAATTTATTTCAGTATCGTTCTGTGCTTCCATAGCATTCTCTCATGGTACTTACAATCATAAGTGTACTTTTCTATGGCCCTCATTAAACTGTAAGTGCCTCAGGGATGGGGCTATATCTAATTTAACTTGGTATCCCCACTATGCTAAGCATATGTTCTGTCAGTGTTGGATGAGTAAATGAATGAATGAATGAATAAATGAGCAGATCTTTCTGGATTGGAGGTTTCATGGTGAGGAATATGGTAAGATAAATAGAGGTTAAAAAATGGATTCTGGAGCCAGCCTGCCTGAGTTTGAATCCTCACTGTACCACACTGAGAAAATTACTTAATTTGTCTGAGCCTCAGTTTCTTTATAGATTTGGAGGATTAGATGAGGTAATGTATGTAAAAGTTCTGAGAACAGCACTTGCCACAGAGTATATATACTATAGACATGTTCGCTTTTCATCATTATCATTATGGGAAGGCTACATGTAAGTGGTCAAACTGTGGAAGACCATGAGTGTTAGGCCAGGGAGTTTGAACTTGGGTGCAGACTTGCTAGGCTTTTTGAGCAAAGGAGTTGTCAAAGTGAAAGTGGCCTTCTCATAAGACAGTTTGGTCTTCTGTGGGGGAATCTGGGTGAATTATATGAGAAGTAAATAGGCCACTAAAGGTAGCAAATTTAGGCTATGTGATCAAGGTATAATCAGATTTCTGGATTCAGATGAGGGAAATGGGGGCAGAAATGCAGTTCTTGGTATGGGTGGAATAGCATCGTGGTTGAGAAAAGAGATTCTGAAGTCAGATGGTTTGGGTCTGAATCCCAGGTTTGCCACTTACTAGTCCTGTAGCATTGGGAAAATGACTTAATCTCTTGATGCCATGATTTCTTCTCCTAAAAATGGGATTATGATTCTTACTTCTAATACTTCTTATGAATATTAAATGAGTTAAATTATAGAACAGTACCTGGCATGTATTACTAATATTATTATTCTTGTCCCCCACAAATTCCTATTGTAGCCGCAGCCTGTCAGATCTTCCGAAGGCAGGAGTGAGTAGTAGACCTGTGTTGCCAAGAGAAAGCAAAGAAATGTAATCACTGAGTTGGTCTGTGTGTCTGTGTAGCATCGTTCACATGCTCTCAGCATCACCTTTCCAGGTCCTCAGGGTTCCAGATGCCCACTACACAGGTACCCACTACCCAGTGGATAGGAAATCCACAGAGCAATGGATGAATGAAATCCAAGATATTGGGAGGAGCGACATTATTCCGTATTCTTCCCTTCATCCCAGATTGAGGTTTTAAGACTGGTGACCTGAAGGATTGTCAAGTGCTCTATTAAAAGAAAGAGGAAGCTACACCATTTTAAGAGATGAAGATAGAATAGAAATTTACCACTTGTTGAGTACCTACTATGTGCTACATGTTTGTATGTCATTATTTAATCTTTCCAACAACCCTAAAAAACAGATATTTTTTTTCCCATTTTACAGATGAGGCAGTTGAGATTCAGAAAGGTTAGTAACTTGACCAAGGTCATCCAATTTAGGGAGTAGAAGCCTAGATTTGAACCCAAGTCTACCTTATTCCAAATCAATTACCCTTTTACTCTCAGATGTCCCATTTTGAGAGATGTGCAGGGTGGGTATTTAAATAGGCCTGCTTGAATCCTGGGCCCAAGAACCCTTCAGCTGTGAGGCTTTGAGCTCAAGATACTTAATATCCCTGCATCTCAGTTTTCTCATCTATAAACTGAGGGATTTTCCTTCTCAGGGCTGCTCTGAGGAGTAAATGAGATAAAGTATATAAAGGGTCTCAGCTGCTAACATAAATTCAGCTATTATTATTACAAGTGTCCACGATCCACCTGGTAACTGGCAGTGTTATTACCAAAACCCAAGTCTCTTTACTCATTTACCCTCCTATTGCCACTGTACTGATTAGTGGCAGTGATGACTTAAGGATAGATGGTATCAAAGAGCTGACCTCAGGTATTGGAAGACTTGTATGTTTGTGTGTTCCTATATCCAGTCTAGATTTGGGGTGGGGGCAGGTTGTAGAACCACACTGACCATTGTCTAAATTCCCTTCTGGGAAATTCTCTTTTCTCCATTCCTGAATTTTCCCTTCCCATTTGGCTTGTGTTTCAGGAGCTACAGAAGGCCCAAAAGAAGAAATATATCAAGAAGAAGCCTTTGTTGAAGGAAGTAGAACAGCCTCGCCCTCAAGAGTCCAATCTCAGTGTGGCAGCACCAGCCCCAACTGTGACCACTGCACCCCAGCTTCTCACCTCCTCCTCACCTCTGCCTCCTCCTGAGCCTAAACAAGAGGCCCTCTCAGGAAGTCTTGCTGACCACGAGTATACTGCTCGTCCCAATGCCTTTGGCATGGCCCAGGCAAACCGCAGCACCACACCAATGGCCCCCGGTGTCTTCTTGACCCAGCGGCGCCCTTCAGTTGGCTCCCAGAGTAATCAAGCAGGACAAGGTACAACTGTCATATGGTTATAGAACTGACAAGGATCTTATGCACTCCAAACCCTATGCAATCTGGTAGATGAGAATACCTGGGGGGGACACTGGCAGCCAACCTAAGGTGCTTGGATTTTGATCTCATAGTCCATGAAGAGACATGGACTGGAGTTAAGCAGAGACAAGCTCAGATGTAGGTTTAGAAAAATGCTTCTGGTGGCCAGAGTAGAGGGTGAGTGAGCCGAAGGTGGGAAGTCTAAGAAAGAGGCACATACACAGGTCCAAGTTACAGTGAAGAGAGGCTGGGGCTCTGACAGAGGGGATGGAGAGGGAGGAGATAAATTGATTAAATATGGAGGAGATCACATGGGACATGGGAGGTGATTTGATGTGGGGAGGGGAAGAGGCCAGGATCAGGGAGTCAAGCCCTCTTTTCCTCACTTTGGCTCTCAAAGCCCAGTCCCTAGAGTATGCAGCTCAAGGGGGTGGGGTTGGTGTGGCATTGGGGTGATGAGGATGGGAGTTTCAAATGAAACCAGGCCCTGGGGCTGGCAACTTCAAGGACACTGAGCTATAGTCACTAACCAGGCACTTGTCTAATACTGGTGGGCAGCATAAGAGAACGGGGAGGCACAGTCACGCCCCTGAAGAATTTAGGAAGGAACATTATTGGGCCCAAAGAAACCAGGGGGGAAAAAGAACCGGACAGACTAACCAGGGATCTGGTGCAGGAGGTCACAGGAGGACGAGCCAAGGCATGTGGTGTTGGATGGGAGTAGTTAAGGAGGGCTTCTTGCCCAAAATGGGCCTGGTGTAAGGATGGGGAAACGGGGGGCAGAACAGAGGAGGCGCTGACCCAAGGACAGGTGGTGCTAGAGCCCTTGCCGTAGCCTTTGCTTACCTCTCCCTCCCCCACAGGAAAGCGTCCCAAAAAGGGCCTGGCCACAGCAAAGCAGAGACTCGGCCGTATCCTGAAAATCCACAGAAATGGCAAACTGCTTCTGTGAGCTCCCTCGTGTTCTGCCCTTCACCCCTTCACCCCCATTGCCTTCTCCGTTGTCAACTCTCGGGGCACTCCTGGATCCTGTCTGCCCCAGACAAGGTGCTGAGGCGCATTGTCCTGCTTTCTTGGAACTGACCAAAGGCAGGGACTTCCCCATGGGCCCCTTCACTGACTCCCTCAGCTCCCTTCCCCATTTCCACCAGAGCATCCTGCCTTCTCCATACCTCTGAGTAGCGGGTAAATGGGAGAGGGTTTCAGCTGACTAGAACCCTCTTTTCTGCTGCTCCAACCCATTTCCTTTTCACCAGCCTTGTGTGCCCCTTACTCTCGTCCCCACCTAGAGCTAGAAGGCAGGATGATGGGAGACACGAGGAGAGCCTGGGCCCCTCAGTATTTCCCTGCTTATGAAATGGGAAGCCCAGTGCTTAACACTTCCCACAACTCCAGCCCTGTCTCCAGAAGGCTGCCCACCTCTGCCTGTTCTTCCTTCCCCTTCCTCCCCTCAGCCCAGTGGACATGTCCCATTCAAGACTCGTTCCTGGGAGAAGGGCCTGGCCTCTGCCCTCTCTTGCCAAATGCTTCATGGAAATAAAGAAGAGGGCCCAAGGTTTCCTTACTGCCCCACCGTGGGCCAATTCCAGAGGTAGCCTAGAAAGGCCATGGGCCGACTTCACTCATCCTTGGGCAAAGGAGAGATTCCTGGCATTTCTCAAGGTGGGGAGAGGACCAATGCCCAAGCCTTTGACCACAACTTTGTAGCCCATCGGAGGAAGCTACTTTTGGTTGGCTAGAGATGAAGCTCCCATCCCAGGCTGAGCTCCAGGAATTTGCCTGGATTTTGAGGTCCTGCAGAACATTATCCGTGTGCCTGTGGCTGGGTTCCAGCAGGCGAGAAACCATCTCCTGAAAGTCTGAAAGCACCTGCCACTGAAGCAGATAGCCTGGGCTCTGAAGCCTGCTCCCTCCACCTGTACCACAGAGCACAGCTTGGACCTTCCAGGGAGGATGTGGCAGGACCTCTGAGCCCTGGGCTCTCCATCCGGAGCCTCCCTGCTTCTTTCTTCATCTTAATTCTTGATCTGAAGACCTCAGAACTCACATCTTCACTCCTGGGCTGCTGCACTCCCAGACGTCAGGTTAATGCTCAAGCAGAGTGCAGATGGCCACTCAGGAGCCGAAGCCTAGGAGAGGAGGCACTCATCTGTAAAGGAGCAGACCATTTGATCCTCCCTTCCCCCTCTTCCCTTTGTGGATGTCTCTATCATCTAGACAGTTACCACCCTTCTCCCTCCCTTTCCCCCAGTTCCCTCCACCTCCACCAGTCCTGCCTCCCTGGCATCCTGGACTGGATGGAGAATGTCCCCCTCCCTCCATTTTGGCACTGCCCACGTGGAGTGCATCCTTACCCTCTACCCCACTCCAACCTCACCCCAGTTTGCCCAGTGCTTCTGGGGGAACTTAACAGCTACCATGCAAGCCACAGGGAGTATGTGAGACTTCCCTTGTTGTCTTTATGTCTCCAGTTTGTCTTTTCTCCACAGCCCATTATCTATTCTCCTTCCTTGGTATCAGGGGTCCCTTAGACCCATTTGCTTTTTCTATCTTGGGGACCCCCGGGGCCAAGCAGTCCTCCATCTAGTCACACCAAAGGCAAAAAGCCTGGCTACCTCCCCCCTAGCACGTGAGGTCCCCACTCCTCTCCTCTCTGTTTCTGCCCAGCTTTGCTTTTCTTGGGGATTTCAAGGCAGCAGAGCATAGTGAGGAGAGGGAAGGGGGGCAGCCTGTGTTCCTGTGTAGGCAACTGCCTGACTAGGCCCTGACTGCTTTAACCAAGACCAGGACCCTGGCCCTTCTGCCCATTAACAACCCCCCTTGATCTTTCAAAGGCAGCTAATTGCTAGCAAATCCCCCTAGTTCCAGGCTTCTTTCTGCTGTTCCTTCTTAGAAATTTCTGTGGAGCTGAAACCCGACCTCCATTCGAATGGGTTTCCCTTAGTTTAGTTGGGCTCTCAGAGCTTCCTGTTTGTTGTTTTGTGTTTCTAATGAAAAGCAAGTTTACCCTCAGAGTTATGCTTTTCCAAAGAGGCTAGTGTGCTTTTTTTTTTTTTAATGTTTCAGGTTCTAAGTGAAGTGAGTTGGGGAGGGGTTGGGAGTGGTTAGTAACCAAGGTTTAGAACATGGTGAGAGAGTTACCTCTGGTCTCCAATACCCAGCACAGAGCTGGGGGTAAGATAGGGGGCAGGGAGAGAGGATTTCTATTCACCTTTAATATATTTTTACAAAAAAGCAAACAATTTAAAAACAAGCCCACCGCTTCTGTACATGTCTAAATATATTTTTAGAAGTGGGTAGGATTGTGAATTTCTGATGCAGGGCCTTTTTATAAACAGGTTAGAATAGCATCATACAGACTTGTTTTTTTTCCCCTTGTTTTTTTCTTATGTTGTGTTACTAATGTAATTTATATTTTTTTTTAGATCCTCCCTTTCCTATAGAGATAAAAGTGATTTATCTTGGCAATTGCTTTGCTTGTCATTCTTTTTTTTTTTTTTTGGTGGTGGTGGTGGCGGTGGTGGTGGTGGTGATGGTATGGAGTACAAGAGTGCGGCCTTTTCTTAACAATCTCTCTGATTCTCCCTCCCATCAACTCAGCACTTCTCTGGTTCCCAGCCATATACCTGAGGTGGCGGGGGAGGTCAGGATCCCTGCCTTCATGAGAGACACAGTTCACGTGCCAGAAACAGATAATCAGAAGGACAGTAAGCAGAAAAAAAGGGGTGCATCAATTCAAAGGGGCCTGACAAGTTTGTTGAAAAAGCTTTCCATAGCTTCCATGGGCTGTTTTTAGTGGTGACACCTGTATCTTCTTTCTGCGAATGTGGAATTTTGGGGGGTCTCTCTCTCTCCCTCTCTCCTATGTATATTGATTTATTTTGTCTTCACCAATATCCTCATCTTACTAAAGAGGAAACAGGCAAAAAAAGCCTTTCAGCATCACATACCATAAGTTTTGGGGCCAGCCTCGTTTCAGAGTCTCTGTTCTTTTCACTGTTCTACCACCTCTCACTGTTAACCGCTGCTATTTATTAAGTGCCTTTTCTGTGCCAGGCATTGGGCTAGGGGTTTTACTTGGGATATCTCATTTAATCCTCACTGACAACTCTGGGAGATAATTAATAGTCTATCTTGTGGTGAAGAAGACTGAAGCTTGCCAGCGATCTTCCACAGCAAGATCTGCCTGACTCCCAAACTCATGTTCTTTCCCCTCACCATGTTAGAAAACCTTTTGTAACTCAATGACCCAACAGATGTTTATTGAGTACCTGTTTTTATCCAAGATATATCCTTGAGAATTGTGTCCTGAGGAGAACCCCTGGAGCGATGTCGGCAGCCTCAGTTCCAAATTTACCACCACCATGACTCGGTGACCCAGGGCAGGGCTGCTTACTGTCTGAGGGTCACTGTAAAAGGAGTTTGAACCCAATCAGGATTTCTTCACCCTGGAAATTCTGCTTCTAATAGGTCTGGGATGAGGCTGTCTGGGTTTGGTACCTACTGGCTAAATGACCTCCTCCAGCTCTCCCAATCTGAATCTTGGTATTAGGCAGGACTTGGGTAGAGAAGGTTTTTGTCTGGGCATGGGGGACTATGTCTCCTGGTGGAAAGGCAACAGGAAAGGGGGAAAGGATTTCAGAGCCCTTGTAGGAATGGTGGGCTGGGGTTTTTTTCTGTCACCAACTCTTACCCCACCTTCCCCAGTGAGGGACCAAAGCACTATCACCAGCCTCAAGTGAAAGGATAAGCTAGAGTCTTGGTCACCTTAACTCATGCAGCTCGTAGGTGCCAGCAGATCAGAGGCTCCTGTCTAAAAACTGGATGGAAAACAAGGGCAGCCAACTTCGGTGTTCCCTTTTTCCAGTATGCAGTGGAAAAATGCACAGGGCTTGTCATTAGGAATCTGCCTTCTCAGAAACTAACCAGTTAATTTTGGGGGACATTGCTTATCTGGGTCTCAGTTTCTACATTTGCCAGTTGTAATTGTTTCAACTGTGAAGTCCTCTAGAAGGATGGTCACCCCTAAACATTCGGGATTCCTAAACAGAATCCTCTAACTCTGACCTGTCCTGAGTACAGATCCCCATTTCTACTTGCTCTTGTGGTGTTGCCTCAGGTACACAGTCTCCTCCCTTTCTATCAGGACCCTGTTCATGCCAAGTTGACTGAAGTGGCATGTGCCCTCCAGTAAGCTAAGTGAAGAAGAAGAGCACCGTATGGGACAGTGTGGTGACAGAGATGAGTATGGGACGCTGGTCAGGGAATCTCCCTGGGAAGCAGGGAGTCCAGGTAAGGCTTCCTGTCAGGGCTGATGCCTCAGCCAAAAGATGCAAAGTAATTAGCTAGTCAGACAGAGAACAGTGGGAAGAATATTTCAAGCCATGGCATGAGTAAAAAAAGTGGGAAACACGTGTGTGTATAGAGGACAAAATATTTAGTAGAACTATAGCTGTGACTTTCACCTGAGGGAACATATGCACTCTCCAAGAGGGAATGTTTAGTCTGAGAAGGCATCTGATCACAACTGATTAGTTTTTAGGGATACTATTTATTTTAAACCCTCAGATAATGGAGGCCATGTAATTTTGTTGTTTGTGAAAAGACTTAACTGTATCCAGTGATAGAGAATCATTAAAGAGTTTTAAGCAGAACATGGCATGCTCTAACTTGCTTTTATAAAAGATCCCTTTGCCAGTCATGGTCAGTAGTGGATTCTGAGGGAGAGAAATGGAGCCAGGGAGACGAGTGAGGATGTTACTGAAGGAGACATGCGGAGGGCACCATCTCATCTAATGCCCCATTGAATGCCGCTTCCCTAAGGAAGTCTTCACCCAACTCTCCAGTCAATTCTGACCTTTTTCTGGACTTCTACATCTCATAAAAGGTGGAAATCCCAGGCCATTTCCAGGAGGCAGAACCATGGAGTTGGCCACTCATACTACCCCAAAGACCCCTTTTCAGCTTTTTAACTCTCAAAATAGCTCACCTTTCCAGGGCTTCTCCTTCTCCATAGGACCACAACATAACGTCAGCACTCACCAATGAATGTGGTAAGAAAGATACAATACCCATTTTACAAGTATATTATCCTTGTCAGGATCCCAGCAAGCCTCCCTTGCATTTCGTCCCATTCCATTCTATCATACACAACCTTCCCGAAGTCCTATTTTCATCATTCCCACCTGCTTGAGAACACCCATGGCTTCCCACTGCTTTATTATACTTCTGCTTTCAAGGCTTTCCAGACCTGGCCCAACCTGGAGACAAAGGGCTGTGGCTGAAAGAGGATGTGCCTGGGAGTTGAGAAGACCAATGATTCAATTCCAACTCTGCCACCTATGTGATCTTGAGCTGGTTACTTTATATTTCCTTGATTCAGTTTTGTCATCTGTAAAATGAAGATAAACTCCCTACCTCATAGGTTTGTTAGGGACTATAGTAGCCCCTGTCTTTAAAAAACTTAATGTCTTAACACTCAGGTGATCAGTGAATCTATTTGCATTTATCTCAGTTAATATTTGCCCAACAAGCCCTATAATCTTATAAAGACTACAGAGAAAGTAAGCCTTTAAAGAAATTGGAGAGAATATTGGTGCAGAAAATGGAGTTGGCTTAATGAGGAAACTGAAGGACATAGATGGCTAAGTCAATAGGTGTGGTGATCCTTACACTTCTGTAGAGAGGAGATACAACTAAATCTGTGACACAGTTTCTGGAAGGTGCCAGAGTATCATCCATGTCAGGTCAATATCACTGGTTTGGTTCTACAGTGGTTTATCAAAGCCACTTTTGTGTCAGGCCCTCTGTATGACAATGGAGGGCTTGATCCTCAAGGAGCATGTGGTTTAATGCACAGACATGGAAACCCAAGTACAGCATACTGGGATGGAGACAGAAAGTCCTCACAACATTGTTGATAGGTTCTGCAACTTTAAGCAAAACAACATATAAGGAAACCAATTTTACCATATGCTAATTAATATAAACAAAAGCTCCTATAACATCTCATTAATATTATAATGAAATGACATTGAAAGAAACAATGTTATTCGAGGACCTGCTGTACTATGTAACAAGTAAGTATGCGGTGCTGTGGAAACATGAAGGAAGGAGATGGAACCCAGGCTGCAGAGCATAAAAGTCTAGGAAGAAGCAACACCTGAGTTGAATATTGAAAGACATTCACCAGGAAAGGGAAGGCAGAAGGATGAGTTTGTAATAGAGCATTCCAAGCAAAAGGAACAGAATAAGCAAAAGCGGAAAGTTGAAGCAGCCTGGTATGTAGGTGGAACTACAAGCCTTTCAATTGGGCTGGTGTACAGGCTACAGCAATATGGCAAATGGAGGATGAAGAAGGTTGTTTCAAGACTCCAGTTAAGATGCGATGAGGTCTAAACCAGGGCAGCGGCTGTGAAGATACCAGAGATGTTAACCCACACCCCACTTTTCCCCTGACATTTTACTATGAACAGCTTCAAACATTCAGAAAGTCAAAGTAATTATTCTGAGAACACCCATATATCCACCATCTAGATTCTACAATCAGTGTTTTACTATATTTACTTTGGCACACCTATTCATCCCTCTATACTTCCTTCAACCCATCTTATTTTCATGAATTTCAAAATCAGGCATCTATATACATCCATGCCATTAACTAGAGTTGAATATATGCTTTTATTTTTAGCTAAAATACCCATATAATGAAATGCACATATCTTAAGACTGTAATTTTGTTTTGATAAATGTATATACCTGTGTAACCCACAACTCTATCAAGATACAAAACATTATCATCAACCCTGAGAATTCCCACATGTCCCTTCCCACTCAACCACAGCCCTTCCCTGTTCCAGAGTAGGCCTTGAGTTTGAAAGGGTAGGATTTGGAATGTGTGGAAATAGAAAGATGATCCAAGTGGAGAGAGCCTGGATGCCTCCCTCTCTGGCAAAGTCATGAAGGCAGGTAACCATGGGGGATGCACAAACATTAGTCAATGAATTCGAGTGAATGACTTTCTGCCTTCCTCCTCTCCCCCTACTGAGCCTCATCTTTATGGGTCTAGGCATGAAACAGTGAAGAGTCGAGTCAAGGGCTCTCAGGAGCTAATAGTCTTGTGGGTGAAACAGAGTGAAACACTGACGGTCACAATTAAGTAAAACAAATATTAAATGTTGCATTGTGCAAGGGTCAGTGCTATAACAGAAAGAATGGAAAATGAGGTAAAACAAAAGTGCCACAAGGGTTTGGTGTGTGTGTGTGTGTGTGTGTGTGTGTGTGTGTGTGTGTGTGTGCATGTGTGTGTGCATGTGTGTGTGCATGTGTGTGTAGAGGAAAAGAGAGAAGAGAAGAGAAAAGAAAAGAGAGCAGAAGGGTGGGGTGGGGTAAAGTGATAAGTTGAATGACTTAGACTCTCGGGACTGGAGGAGCTCAGAGGAAAAAGGGAGAAAGAGCATTAAGCAGCT